GGCAGGAGGGTGTTGCCTCTGCCGGGAGTGGGACCTTTCCCGAGCAGCTGCCTGCGCGCGGCCCGCACTAAATTTAAAACCCGGCCCCTGGCTCCGCCGGCAGCTGCCAGCGCCCGCCCCTCCCCGGGGCCCGGAGGTGAGCAGCCCCGAAGTAGGTGCTTGGGTGGGGGGTCCAGGCCGCAAACTGCCCTCCAGCCCCCGACCTGGGGCAGGGCTCCCCGGCGGGCAGTGGCCCGGGGAGATGCCCACACCGCGCTGCCAGGGCCAGACTCCCTGCCTCGGGGCTGCCCAGGCTGTGGGGCCAGGCCAGGTGCCCCCTCCAAGGCCTCTCCTGTGCCCCAGATGGGGGTGTCCTGGAGGCAGGGGGGCACCTCTTGGGGGAGCCTCAATCCTGACCTGCCCCCTCGCTCTGCAGGGTCCTCCCTGCCTGGGTCCCATGGGGCATTCCTAGACCCTGAAGCCCAGCTCCGTGCCTCAGTTTCCCCCAGGGCCAGGTGGCAGGCAGAGGTGCCGCCAGCCCGGCCCCCCTGCCCGCTCCTGGGGGAAGCCCTGGGGCCAGGGCCAGGGCCAGGCCCAGCCACACCCAGACAGCTTCCTCTGGACCCGGGTGTCAGCAGGTGATGGAGACGCCCCCCCCCAGCACGGGTGAGGAGCCCAGACTCCCTGCGACTGCCCCAGGCCTCGTCCCTTCTCGCCCACGACCCCAACAGGCCCCTCTCCCCAGCTCAGCAGGCGCCGGCCAAGCCCCCCTTGCCCCATACCCCTTCCCTCCCCACCCAGCACTGCCCGGGCATCTGGCTCGGAGCCCCTTTAAACTAGGGGGTCTTTCCCCTGGGTGGGGGGCACAGAGGCAGCCCCCTGCCCAAGGCTGCAGGAACGTCCCAGCGAATAAAAAGCCATAACTGGTACGGCCTGGGAGCCTGGAGCTCTGCCCCCCCCCGGACCCCCAGCAGAGTTCAACCCGTCCCCCTGGGAGAGCCGATCTGCACCGTCCGTGCCCACCCCGGGGCCCCTTCCCTGCCCTGGGACACTGGGGGCAACTGAGCTCCAGGTGCCAGCAGGGTCCAGCCACAGCCTGGGGACCCCTGAAGCCAGACAGGGCCTTCCCCAGCCCAGCACGTGCCCATCCCCAGGGTGTCGGGGCTGGACTCTGCGCCCCTGCCCACCCGTCGCTGGGCACAGTCACCCCCCACCCCTGGAGCAGAGCCAGGCCTCCTGACCGGCTCCCGTGCCAAGGCACCAGGTGACCGGGCTGGACCGCGGAGAAGCTGCTCATGCCCCGCACAGATCGGGAGGGTCCCAGGGTCAGGCATGTGCTGGGCTGGGGGGGGTGATGGGCATGGACTGCACACGGTGCCCCCACAACCCCATGGGGCCAGGCCTGGCTCCCCTGGGGGCTGGGGGGTCCAGCAGATGGGGGGAGGGGGTCCTATGCTCCCCTGGGTCTGCCTGAAACCAGATCCTGGCTCGGCTCCCCGGCCCGTGAGTGACGCCGCGGCCGCTGCCCGGAACCCGATCACCAAGGTCAAACCAGGCTGGGACAGCAGGACCTGCCTGGGGCGAGGAGCGCGGGGGGGCCCGTGGGAGCAGGGCATGGGGGGCAGAGGGCATGCTCAGGGCTTGGAGGGAGCAGAGTCCTGACCCCCAGCTCCAGAGCTCCTGGGAAAAGCTGCTCTTGGTTTAAGCCAGCAAGGGGCAGGGGCTTGCCAACCCAAAGGAGCCCCCAGTGCAGAGGACTGGCGTGGGGGGCACGTATCCGGCCTCCCCCCAGCCCTGGCTCAGCCCCACAGCCCCCCCAGGCCTCACCCCACCAACCTCCAGGGCACAGGTCTGGCCATCGCCCCTTGGACCTTTGACCCCGCAGGTAAAGCTGGGCCCTGCCTCGGCCCAGCTGGGGGGGGCCCGGGGACGAGGAATGCTCCTGGCTGGGGTGGAGCGGTCCAGGGCGCAGGCACGGCAGGTGCGGTTTGGGCAGTACCCCCGACGCGGGGAGCTCCAGGCCCTGCCCCTGCCACCCCCCATGGAAAGAAGAGCTGAGACATGGATGGGCTTCATGGAAACCTTGCAAGTTTAAGATCCATTGTGTGAGGCCGGGGGAATGGGGGCCGCGCAGGCACAGTACAAGGGGGCTGGGGCCTGAGTGCTGCACCCAGGGGGTGCCCGCTGGAAGTGCCCTGGGGTGGGGGGCGGCTCATTCGGCTCCAGCAAGCATTGGGCAGCTTTCCCTGCCCCAGCTTCCAAACCAGGGCAAGAATGGAGATGCCCCTTCCTCATCCTCCCATGCTTTCTATCCCAACAACCAGTGTCACTCCTGGGGGGCTTCTGCTCCACCTAGAAGGAAGGGACCTGCAGCAGGAGGGATGGGTCTGCGGCTGCTCCGGTGCCGAGCACTGGGGGACCACACCGGGTGATGGGGGGTGGGCAGGTGCGACAGCCCACTAGAGCCCCCCGGGGCTCCAGACTCCTCCTCTGCCTGGCACAGGGCCCTAGGGTGCCACCTGCCATGGACGTGGGGGTAAGAGCATTTCTAGGTGGCGGCTGTTTTGTGGTGCCCGGGGCTCCACGGGTGAGCTGTGCCAGGACAGGATGGGGCTCTGTGGCGGCAATGCCAGCCAGCTCCCGGCCCGACATCCTATGAATGGCCCTGCCCACAGGAGCGGTCTCAGCTGCTTGGGGCCAGTCTGCACGAGCCTGGCACTGATCTGAACCCCCACGAGGAGCTGCCTGCCTGGGTGGGTGGGGGTGGCTGTAGCAAGCACTCCTTCCAGCTGCCTTGCACGGGACACGGAGGGGACAGGCCCCCCAGGCAGTAGCTAGAAGAGGTGGAAAGGAAGCTTGAAGCCTATAATTTGCTCAGCCTGGGACTGGAACCTAGGCTGGACAGCCTGGCACTGATGGCAGACGGCAAGGGACGGTCCCCAGTGGCCCCTTACCCTGCCTAGGTCTGCGACCAGGGGAGCGCTGGCCAGACGGCCCCAGGCAGGTGCATTCTGCTAGGCCGGGGTCCCAGGGCTGAGAGCCCGTGGGACGCAGGCCTCCTTTGCCTGCGACTGCTTTCAATGACTTGAATCAGCAAGTGTGGCCCTGTGTGGATGCGCCAGTACTAAGACAGCCATCTCCCGGGGGACGGGGCCACAGGAGACTTGCTCCCGGGGCCCGTCTGACTAGCCCCTTTAGCCCAGGATCCTGTTATGATGTAGCTCAGACCTCCGGGGAGGGCACTGCAGCCAGGCTTAGCTGGTCCCAGCCTCTTGACTGTTAGGAGCCCCCTGGTAACCAAGCACATGCCTCCACAGGGCCCTGAGCTGGTTTAAACCCATTGCAGGTAAGCTGAACCGCTCGGGTGCAGCCTGGGCTCTGGTGGGGTGGCTTACAGGGCTGCAGCCAGCATGTGAACTGGAATGCCCTCACCTCGAAGTGCTGTGTGCCTGGCCCCCGTGGGGCTCCTGGCACACTCCACCCCTCCTGGTGCTGCCCAGCTTAGCCAGGGAGGGAGGCTTGAGCTCTGGCTGGCATGTTACAGAATGGCTCCCATCATGCGTGGACACAGCCTGCCTCAGCTCTAAGCCCATGGCAGGGCTCTGTGCAGTGCCTGAGCTGCCACTGCTGTGGGACATGCAGCCCATGGCCAGTGACCAAGGTAAATGGCATCCCGCCAACCTGGCCTGCCCCAGTGGTGGTCACTTAGTCCCTTGTGGGCAGCCACAGCCCCGCAGGGACAAGTCCCTGGAAGAGAAGCCAGGGGAGAGACCTGCCTTGGAGCAACTCCAGGGGCCCATGGGGGCAGGAGGATGCCCTCATGCCTGCTCTCGTGTTCCTCACATCAGCCTGCAGCATGGCTTCTTCTCTGCGGGGGTGTCCTCGGCCGGAGCCGTCAGCTTCAGCAGGGGAGGGTCCCCGCTGGCTGCTGTGTAGTACACTGAGTTCTGCTCCGAGTCCGGGCTCGGGCTGCCCTGGGGCACCTCGGCTGAGCCAGGTGCAGGAGGGTCCTTGCTAAGGGGGTGGTCGTCCCTGTGGTGCCGCTGGAGCTTGGCAGCTGCCCGCTGGCGCTTGAGGTCCGCGAGCGTGTGGCGGGACTTCTCCTTGCACAGGTCACCTGTGGACTCGTCCTGGGTAGGCAGCTGATAGGACACGCTGCGGTCCAGCCGCTTGGAGAACAGGTGCTTGGAGGGGCCTGCGGAGCCAGCGGCTCCGTTCCTCTGGGTCAGCCGGGTTTTCTGCTGTTCCTCCACCACCGGACTCCCCACCAGCGGCTCGGGATCCTGCAGGGCGGAGAGAAGCAAGGTGGGCTCAGCACCAGGGCATGGGCAGCCAGATGTGGGGGGAAGGAGATTCCCCTTAGTGCTGGCTCCAGGCAGGGGCTGCTGGAGGGGCAGGAGCACCTGACAACAGGGCACCTGAGGCAGGGACATAGGGGGGGTATGATGAGCAAGAAACCCACTGGGAAGGGAGGAAGCCCCTTCTCCTCTGCCCCCCAAGTGAGGAGAGGGCAGGGAGGCCCAACCCCAGCTGGGGGCAGGGACCCTGGAACAGCCCCTCACCACCTGGCAAACCCCTCACGAAGGCAGTGGAGCGGGTGCTGGCTCCGCGGCCCCTACTCACGGCCTGGTGGTGCTGGAGCTCAGTGTCCGTCTGCTTGTCCTCATCCTCCAGCTCGGCTTCGCTGGCCCGCGGCTCGCCCTGCTGCCACACAATGGCCTCCTTCTCGTGCTCCTTGCGGTACAGGTTGGTGCGCTCCGTCACGCTCACCCGCCGCACCACCTTCCTGGGGGCACCGCGAGCCATGGTCACCATGTGTCGGGGAAGGGGAGAGGGTCCTCTCTCAGGGCCAGTGGGCAGGATGCTGGGCTTGCTGGGCTCCCAGCTGGCTGGCCCATATGCCTGGCTCTTGCCTTCCCGGACTGCAGACAGGCCCAGGGGCTCCTGCCACAGCCAAGCCACGCTCCCCAAGCCGAGGTGATGCGAGTGAAAGGCTCGGGGTCGCACTCATGACCGTTCAGGCACCACCGTGGCTGGTAGGGCAACAGGCAGGAGAGGACAGCCTGCTCAAAGGACCTGCGGGCAGCTCCCTGGTGGGGGCAGAGGGCTGTGTGGCCAGTGCTGGCGAGGGCTGAGGGTGGGAGAGGGGGGCAAGCAGCAGCAACCCTCCTCCCCTCCCTCACGCACTGGGCAGGCACTCTCAGGGGACTGCCAAGCTGCTCGTTAGCAGGCGCAGGGGGAGCTGGGGACGGCATGGCAGGAAGCCTGGAGCTCAGAGGCTGAGACTTGTGGCTGGGCTGCCCAGCAGAGCAGGGATGGCATCCTGGCTTTGGGACACCCGCCCGGCTTCCAGCCCCCCACCCTGGACCTTACCCACGGCTGCCGGCACTGGAGGTCCGACGCTGCAGCAGCGACTTGTGCTTGTCGTGAGACTTCATGATGGCGTCGTGCTTGTGCTTCAGCTCCAGGAGCTTGGCGCGCACCTCCTCGTCCCCACACACGTCTGCCAGGGGAGGCAGGGGTCACGGTCAAGGCTCCCGGCCCCAGGCTGCCCGACAGGTGCCTCCCCCTGCAGGGGCTGAGCAGCGGGGGAAGCACCCGGAGATCAGCCGCTCCCTGCGTCTCCTAGGGAAGTTGCTGCCGTTGCAAGGCCTGGAGACCGCAGCCCGAAGCTGGACCCAGTCACCCAGGTACTCAAGGGCAAGCCTGAGGTCACTAGGAGGGTGTAAGGAGTCTCCTCTGCCCAGGGCTGGGAGGCAGGGAAGGAGGGTGTGGGGAGGGACCTGCCACGACCAGGGCATCGTCACCAATCTCCCACAAGCGGGGCTGGGGGGGAGCAGGGAGCTTGGCATTCTGGGATGTCGTGGGATTTCCAGAAGGGCGGCTGATGCTGGCACTGGACGGCAGCCAAAAAGCACGGCCCACCCCAGGGAGAAGCACAGCCGGCACAGAGGTCTGCCCTCCCGGCTCACCTAGTGGCGTCTCATCCAGCACCGACTTCCCGTTGAGATCAGCTCCGTGGGCCACCAGCAGCTCCACCAGCTGGACCTGAGGGTGGCACAGGAAGGCACCAGTAGTGATGCAAGACAAAGCTGGCACCCAAAGTGACCTTACACCCGAGCTGGGGCAAACCTCTGCGACCTCAACACCACGCAGGATGCGTGCGCTACGAGCCGACATGCTGCGGGTCAGAATTGCCTCTGGCCTCGGTCTGCTGGCTCCCGCGGCCCCAGGCACGCTCAGCAGGGCCCTGGCTCTGTATGCCTGGCAGGGAATGGCTCTGAGCTCCCAGCACCCTGCCTGCCTCCTTCCTCCCCCAGCACACACCCCCACTCCCAGGCAGGGGGGCTTTTTCCCTACACACTGGGACGTGCTGGCAGGAAAGTCAGGTGCAAGGGAGAGGGAGCTGCTGGGGGCTCCTGCCCCAGGGGTGCCAGGAGGGCAAAACCCCTCTGGCCCCCACCTCCTGACAGGCAGCGTGAAGACAGCAGCCACCAGGAAGCGCTGGGCCCCACTGTGGCATGGGTGAGATGCCCCCCCCTGCAGTGTCCGGGGCCTCACCTGCCCCCAGCAAGCAGCAGCATGGAGAGGCTCCCAGCCATCGTGGTCCTTGGCGCTCATGCTGGCCTTGTGCTCCAGAAGCAGCTCAGCAGCCTCCAGGTAACCGTTGGCAGAGGCGATGTGCAGCTGCAAGGCAGAGAACATCAGCGCTGGGACCTGACACCTTTCTCCAGGCACCATGAATGACGTGAGCCCCCAGACTCTGGGGGGGACGGTGACCACCCGCAGGTGGTAGTGGCAGCAGGGGCATGGCAGCCGCAAGCGGGTCTCAGTCAGAGTCCCCAGCCTGGCCTGTGCACTGGCTGCAGAGCGTAGAGCCCTGGGCAGTGCGCTCCCAGAAAGCCAGGCCACACACCCCAGCCACAGCCTCTGCGTGGGTGCAGCCTTTCCTAACAAAGCCAAGGTCAGCAATGGAGCCTGCCAGTCATGGCAGAGCAACCAGGCTGCCACCCCACGAGAGGGAGCCTGGTCTGGGCACTCGCAGAGGGCAGTTGCTGTGGCTGTTTGGCCCTCTGCAGCCATGAGATGTCCAAGGGCCCTGAAGGCTGTGGACGGAGCTGCCTCCGGATGAGAAGATGCCCATGGGTGTGCAGGGCGCATGCACTGCCCTACCCCTTCCCTCCCTGGATCTCCCGGGCACCGTACCAGCGTGGCGCTGTGGTCGAGGGGGGCGTTCAGGTCGGCACCAGCCTTGAGCAGCCTCCGGATGTCCTCCACCATGCTCTGCTCCGTGGCAGCCCGGGCCTCCTCGATCTTCTCCTGGGTGATCCCTGCCGGGAGGGGGTGCATCATGAGGAGGCTGGGGCAGACAGGCCTGGGAATAGCCCTCCACGCCGATGGGCGCAGCAGTCTGTACAGAGCTGCACTGGTCTGGTGGGGCAGGGACCAGTCCTGCTGGGGGTGCCCAGGCAGCCACCTCTGTGGCCCTGGCCCCAGCCAGCTCTGCTCTGGGGCAATACAACATACCCTCCTACCCCCGGCTCTGCCCCAAGTCTGTACGTATCTGGCCTCTCTCCCAACTGTCCCACCCTCTGCACCAGCCCCTGGCTCCTGCCCCATTGCCACATTTCTTCTCCCCCCTTATGGCCCATCGCATTTACCTGCTCACTGCCAACGCTCAGCGCAGCTCAGTCCGTCACAGGGCCCTTCTGACCCCATCTTCCTCCCTGGCCATCTCCCATGTGCCACCCAACCTCCCCTCATCCCCCAATTCCTTCAGGGCTCCTTCCCCAACCTGCACCTTTCAGCCCTTCCACTCCTGACCCGTGCTCCTGCCTTTGCTGCTTTATGATGCAGCTGGCACCTAGGGTGCAGACAGGCAGCTCCTGCCTCAACTGGCACTCATGCCCCTCAGCGCCCAGCCTGCTGGTGCCCCTCCTGGGCTCCTGTCATGGCTCGCGCAGACGGCCGTGTCTCAGGGAACATATCAGAGCTATTTGTCCATCAGCCGTCATGCACCTCTGTCGTGCAGTGTGAGCAGCAGCAACCAGGATTCAGGGGGCTATGGGCAAGGGGCTTATATCCCTCCAGAGATCTCGGCAGCTGCAGGAAAGGGGAGCAAGGGAGGGACACCAGGCCCAGGAGACAGCTGAGGAAGGAAGCAGCCAGCAGCCGGATCCAAGAACGGAGGCACCTGAACGGGGGCACGGCAGCCCGGGGCCTGGGACACTCACCCTGCTCCGCCATAGCCGTCTCAATATAGTCCAGTGTCAGCTCATCCTCACACAGGTCATACGGCATGTTCCCGTCCGCGTTGACTGCCAGCAGGTTGGCACCACTGTGGAGGCACAGGGACAAGTTAGCAGGGGGGAGCGAGCTGGTGTCTGAGGCTGCCTCTGCAGCCCCTGCCATGCCCAAAGCCCGGGGGGGCAGCAACCGAGAGAGCCTGGGAGGTGACGCATGGCAGCGCCTGCAAAATGTTCTCAATGGACATGATCCTGCCTCTGCCAGGGTGATTGGGTTTCTTGCCCCTCCTTGTCTGCCAGCAAAGGATGCTGCCTGAAACATTATCGCTGCTCCCCCGTGGCTGGCAGCTGGGGCTGGGGCAGAAGCCAGGGGTCTCCATCTGGCCAGCAGCTCCTCTCCAGCACCGTGAGCTGCGGGGGCACCAGCTAGGGCAGGAGGACATCACCGCTGCCATTTGCTGATGGGCCTTTCCAGCCCGCCCCGCTGAGGACTGGTTCAATCCCCTGTGGGGCTGTGTGAAGCTCCCAGCCCCCACCAGTCTGTGGCAAGAAGCTCCCCACGTGAACTGCACACTCCAATGGGTGGCAAACCTACCGCCTAATAGCTTTGCTGCACGTCCCCTGGCCCTAGTGCTGGGAGGTGGTACATGACCAGTCCCCGGAGACTCTCTGCACCAGTTATACCCTGGAGACTCTGTGGGGTCTCCCCTCCAGCATCTCCTTCCTGAAAAGACCTGAGAAGCTGAAAAGTCCCCGCCTATTTGCTCTCTCCTCCCATGGAAGCCCCCTCCCCTCCCTAACCCTCATCATCCTTCTTGCTCTTCTATGTGCCTTTTCTGGCTCTTCTATATCCTTTTAGAGGGGTAGGGGCCGCAGCTGCACACAGAGCTGAGCTCTGGGGCAGGGAGGAGCCTGCTTCATGTGGAGCTGATGCTAGAAGGAGATGGAGGCAGCACAGGCTCCTGGAGAAAACTCCTTTCCCAGAGGCCGTGGGGGGCTGGCGTGCACATCCGGTCCCAGGTGCTGCAGATCAGGTGGAACAAGTCACAGTGAAGGTCCTGTTGGCCCTGCTCTGTGTTCCTGCACACACGTGCCATGCCTGCTCCCTCTCCCCACCCCGCAGTGCATCCCAACCTTGCCCCCAGCTTTCAAAGAGACTCGCTGGAGTTGCTACCAGCAGGGGAGGGCCGACAGCCTGGAGGGGCCGATGGGCTGCAACTTGTTTGCAGCAGGGATTCGAACCCCAGCCCAAGGGGCTGGGAAATGCTTCGACTGCCAGGGTGCAAGGAGAACGAGCCATTCAACAGTACAGCCGTGACAGCAGTAAGCGCCACGTGTTATTTGTTCGGTCTGGCCTGTCTAGCGGGCAGGACCCAGCTGGGGCCAACAGGATGGTCCCGAGTGCTCAGGCTGCACAGTCAACGTGGCCCTATTAAACATTCACAGCTCCACGAGGAAGCTCCACAACAGTCACCGCACGGCCCCACGGTGCATCCTCCACTGGGTGCGGGGCAGGGACGCAGGCTGCTAAGGGGGCCACCACATCTCACTACTGCCACCACCACCACTGCTCCTCCTTGCTGCCTGGCCATGGTGCAGGGGAAGCCCCCCACCACCAAAACACCCCTGCGGCCCTCATCTCTGCAGACCACAGGGTGCCAACCACTGCTGTGAGTAATCCCCAAGCCAGGGGTCCCGCTTGAGGCAGTACCGATGCTAGATCAGCAGGGGGTGCCCTCGTGTCGGGCTGGAAGGCCCGTGGCCAGGGACCGGGGCTGGGGCAGTCCCAGGACTGTGTTCACTGCACCCTTTCTGGACCCTCCTGGTCTGGAGACCCCCTGAGCAGCCCTGGCAAGGCCTCCTTCCCCAGGTGCTGTAGCACAAAGGGATTTCTTGGCCAGAGCTAGCTCACGGCACCCTTGCCTGCTGCGGCCGGGTCCCCCACCCTGTGCCCTACGTACTGTTGGACAAGCAGCTCCACCAGGTGCAGGTGCCCGCAGGTGGCGGCGGCATGCAGCGGCGTCCAGAGCTCACTGTCACAGGCATTGACGCTGGCGCCGGCAGCCAGGAGCAGCTTCACGACATCCCCGTAGTCATCGATGCAGCACTGCAGGGAGAGTGGGGAGGCCATGGTCATGGGCATGATTCACAGGAGCCTCTGGGTTTCCCCACAGCTGGACAGGACAAGCTGCTCTGCTCTCAAGCTGCAGCCAGGCCCTGCACGTGAAGACTGGAGGCTCCTCTAAAGACACAGAGCAGTTTGAGGCCCATGATTCAGCCAGTCCCTGCCCCCACCACCCCCAATAAAGGCATCAACAAAGGGGGCAAAGAGGGTTGGAAGGTAAATTCTGAGCAGGAGGGGCCAAGAGCTGGGCAGGCCCGACCAGGACTCAGGGCTGGGAGCTTCACTGGCACAGATAAGCCCCCGCCCCGTTCACAGGACCATTCACAGCCCCGTGTCGATCTAGCTACCCTTACCCTGGTGTCCTCAGGACCCCGTTCCGCACGTGCAGCTCATGCGGACAAAAAAGGAAGGAGGGAGGGCACTGGGCCAGCCATGGCCCTCAGGCTCCTCTGGGACACAGAGCTGTGCATTTGCTCCAGACCTGGTAAACGCCATATGTCCCACCCGGCAAAGCGTGCATGGTGTGACAGCGCACCTTCCAGCACTGCAGGGCAGTCACGCAGAGATCAGCGCGGGAGCCCATGACCCCATTCGCCCCTGCCACGCTGCACAAAGGAACGCAGCATGCTCACCGCCCCCCACCCTGGGGAGCCGGGTCCAGCTGGGGGCAGCAGGCAGGGGAGGGCGAGTGCTACTGGCGACAAGGCCTCTGCTG